AGTATGGGAGATGGAGTAAGTAAATTTAAAAATATAACAAGATGATTAATAAGTGTCACTTAAGTACAGGGCTGAATAAATGAAGAATGGTTAGTATTTTCAGTTGAAGGAAATGTGGTTTCACAGATGCAGTTCACTCTGGCTAGTAGGGACTGAAGCTCCCAAATCAGTTGGGCACATCTAACAGTGTTCTCTGTAGTTGTCAGCTCGGTAGGTAACGAGTCGATTTTTCAAGTTTGCATGTGAACACACTCAGACTGTGGAGAAGTCTGGATACAAACACTGTGGCTTGAACCCATTTCTGCTTAGGTTTAAATCCCTGCCCTACAGCTCAAGAGACCGATTGTGTTTAGAAAGAGAAAACTGTTCTTATTTCATAATTATCTTTATTACTGGCCAGGACACCAAAGAAAGAGCTGTTGGTGTCCAAGAAAATCTGTCTCTGTGTAAAAGTTTTAGTTTTCAGGCAGGCCTCTTCTGCTGAGAACACCTTGCTGTAGTCCTGAAACAAGACGTTTATTTGCCTTGACAGAGCGTAGTCTTGTACAGGCATCAGCCACTCATCTGGTTCTGTTCACAGCTCTGCTACAGCCTTTTGGAGCATCCATGGACAAGTCCCATCACCTCTTTGCTTCACTTAGCTCAATCCAAGTGCAAAATGGTTTCTTACCTCCTGGGAGCTGTGAAACCTTATTCAGTAAGGCAGATGCAGTGCATTGAGGGCCTTCTATGCCAGGGACTGTAGAAAGGCAACGTATTATTAATCTTGGTTCTCACACAGTTAAACTGTGGAAATACTTTCATATTTACCTCTCAAATTCTATGCTGTTTCTCAGTTGTCTTCTTTTACCTGTAAAATAAGTTTGATAATGCCTGCTACTAGTGTTACAAGAGTACTCTGTGTATGCATCTAATAAATTCCCCACATGCTGAAGGTATTTTTACTGTTCTCTTCTTAAATCCTGATAAGATGACTTGGCCAAGGTAGAACTATATTTGGCTTTTATTCAGAAAAAAAAGTGATTTTTTTTTTAATTATTATTATCTTATTTTTAAGACAGGCTTGGATTTTTTTTTTTTAAACATGTGCCTGAGTTCTAACCAGCCACAAAAATAAAAGGGTGAGACAAAAGATAATTTCTAAGCAGTCACTAGAGGCCAAACACTGAAACGCTGTCAATCTGGACAAATCAGATTCACTTTTAAGAATATACCTGCGTTTGTAGTATGTGTAAAGTGGGAGAAAAGCAACCCTTCAAACTGTCTTTGTATGTCTGGTTTGTCTTCGATTTGAGTGAAGTCATGGAAGAAAACTCCACAACACTTATTGCTTGGTAGAAACAGGTATCTGGGTTTTCTTCCTGATCATTGAATGTTGTACTCTGACATCTTTCAAACAAGGCTATCCCACTTCATTTGTGGAATCAAAAAAAAAGGCTCAGAAGGAACAAAAAGCAAAACTGTTAGAAACTTGAAAATAATTTCTGAAGCCATGTCTGCCTGTCACTTGCAAAAGGAGTATTTTTTTGTTCTGCTTAAGGCAAGTGAAAAAAAAAAAGAATGGTCAACAGCCAAACCCATTTCCAGTTGAGAAATTGCATGAATATGGCTCTAATCTTGTCACAATGAGATACAGGAGTGGGTCAAAACTTGGTCTGGATTTGGCTGAACATTTTTGAAAGATTGAAAAATGTTTGTCTTTTTCTAAATTTTGCTGCAGAATCTTTTGGGTTCTTGACAAAAAAAAAAAAAAATCTCTCCATTGCCCCTGAAACCTGAAAACCAAACAGATTTGTTTCAATTAAAACAAGCTGAACAGTCTTTTTCATTATTACTATTTTTTACTGGGAGAAGAGGTTACTTGGTTTTACTTTCAGTTTTCAGTTCCTTTTTTATAAAATTTACCTGTTTAATTTGAGGAAGTGCCATAAAATTCAGAACCTTTTTTGTTTAAAAAATTGATCTGGGAAGAAGGGATATTTTTAATCATTTTTCCCCAAACAAACAAAAAAATGACCATAATTCTGAATTTCAGATTACCATGACTAAGAATATATTTAATCTAAAACAAGATGGTAGTAACGGTCTCTTTAACTTTGCTTGGATGTGAGATTATGGAAGCGACACTGATAATGGTAATACTTATTGTAAATCAATTAAGGAATGTGATAGCATCACTTTCCATGGTAAAGAACATCATGGTGAAGGGGATGCATCTTCAGCAATATGGGTACATCAAGCATCTGGGACCAGGATTCCTGGGTTCTATTTTTATCTGTCATTGAATCCATGTGTGCTGTTTGGCAATTTCTCCAGGCCTTGGATTCCATATTTGGCCATGTCCTAATCCCAAATTTTATAAAATATTTAGAGATCCTCATATGAAGGCAGCTACGTAAGTGGTACTCCCAGC